AGTATAATACATGAGACAGAATTACAAAAGATGAAAGCTACTGAATCTAGTCACTGAATACTGTATTATATAGAGATTACATAAGAGTAGTGACTAGCAGATAAAGAAAAAGTGTAAGAAAAGAAAAGAAATAATGAATTGATTATCAACTGTAAGAGTCAGTTATAAAAGATAAATATTATTATATATATCTCATTCATTTTCATATGTCACATGTTTAATCTATTTTCAACATCACATCATCTGAAAAATGTCAAAAACAAAGAAAATCTCAAGACTTGAGATTTGTAAGAAATTTGAGAGCTGTAAGTCACTCTTATAATAATGCTGTACATGTCTCTGATTTCTCTACTGCTCTGTGTACAACATTAATATCATTTATCACAAGATTGACTGAAATATTAATATAGAAATACATACATATATGTATAGAAAAATTGAAGAAGAGCATGAAATCTGCAGAATCAGAAGCCAGAACAGAAAGAGTAGAGATGAAAGAAATAGAAGAAGAAGAAGATGCAGAATTAGATAAATAACAGCAGAAGCTACTCAGAGCTGAATACTTATAACTTAGTATGCATACAATCTTCTTCACAGAAGAGGAAGAGAAAGTGATAGAAGAAGCTTGAGAGTGAGAGAAGATAGTTTCAGTGATATTATCATCTTCAATTAGAATAATCTCTGACACTGAAGTAACTAAGAATCATTATTAGTATATAAAAATCATAAAATCAGAGATAAGAATAGTTACTGAATGAACACTCACTGATCTTAGAGTTGTACACACAATTACAACACACACAAGACTTCTGAGAAAGAGAGAGAGAGACACAGAGAAATGTAGAAAGCAGAATACAGTATGTAAATAGCTCATTCTTATAATAATATCTTAGATAAGATGTATAAGTCTTACATCTGCAGATATAAAAGAGTATAACATTTGTATTTTCATTGCTGAAAACACAGATATCTTTTGCCTGCATTATAAAGTCAGATAACAGATATCAGAGAATAGACTAATATGAATCTATTATCTTAAAGAAATTCATCAGAGTAAATATTCTCATAATATTAAACTTTACAGTTGTAAAAAGTTTCTTAATATCTGTGAATACTATAACTTTATACACAATAAAATTCATAATGATTTTCTCTAAGAATAGAAAAATCAGTATCAGAAAGAAAAGATAAAAAGAAAAAGACTTACAATCTTAACACTGTTAAGAAGAGAGATGATTCTCTGATATGAATAAATAATTATCTCATTATAAATATTTAAAATAAATATAATAATCAGTGTCTGTGACTGAGCTTTAGATAGTTGTGTTATACATCATCTTTATATAATAAATTGTTCTAGAGATCAGTAAGAAGAATGAGAGTCTATATACTGAGAAATGTAATTCACTGAGTCTATATAACATCTTCTTAAAACAGAAAGAGCTAGTAACAAAGACAGTAGCAGAAGTAGAAGTAGCAGAAGTAGAGATCATAGAAATAGAGATAGCAGAAGTGAGAAAATCAGACACAGAGACAGATGTAGAAGATTAAGAAGAAGTGATAGAGAAAGAAACAGAGAGAGCAGAGAGAAATACAGAAGACTCAGTTATATATAGCACAGATAATTTCTTCATTATTATATTCTTTAAGTTCTTAATCAATAATTCAATATTGAGTTCACTATTATCAGCAGATGCAGATCTGTCAACATATGAAGATTTTATATAAATAAAAATAAACATCAGTATCTGTGTTTATACAAAATTATGTCAGAAAACACAATTAGAAGCTGCTAGACTGACCGTGTGACCGTGTCTGAGACCAGAACCAGATTTTTTAATAGTTTCATTACCAATTTGACTGATCTCATTACATGGTTTTAACATTAGATAGTAGTTTCATACTGTTTCAGTGAGACTTACTGTCTACTCTTGTCACATTTTTCAAATGAGACCATGATTTTCACTTCTCAATTTAAATTATTTTTATTGCTTTAAATAACTTTAAATCTCATTTGAGTGTTATCAAAAAGCATTACTTTTTAAAAAATTAAAAATAGTCTAAAAAAAACCTTAAAATGTCTAAAAATAATAACTTTATGCTAAGAATGAGACTAAATGAGATCAAATGAAATCACTTTCTCATTTTTTTCAAGTCATGGTTTCATTTTAAGATCTGATATATAGTCACTTTACCTGTTTTTTTGATAGCCAGTCCCAGCGGGATTCACGCCAAGAAATGTATGAGACCAGACCAAATGAAATCAAACATGAAATTCATGGTCCCGGCGGCCAGTCTAGAAGCTGCTGAGAAGAAAAACAGTTAAGAGTGTATAAGAAAATAAAGAAAATATACTATTCATGATAATACATTCTAATAATTGTTAGAAGATAAACAAGTCTGACTATGTTTTACAACATATTACACTTACTGCTAATAAACTACCTGATATGAGTACTACAATAATACTTGTTATGAAAACAGAAGATCATTGTCAGAAACATGTATAATGTAATAGATAAACAGATAGAAAGAGTTAAACAGAAGAAGAAGTAGAAATCTTGAATAATAATAATATTCAATGATGATAATAATGAAGAAGATAATTAAAGAATGAAAAAAGTTAGTAAATGAGAAATGTAATATAGTGAAAGTTTCTTTATAAAAGTGTACACAGAACACTAACTGAATCAGAGATAGATTATAAGATTATAAACACTAGTGATATACTAATCTGCATGAAGCTAGAGTAAATGTCATGATTATATAAGTGTGACTGAATCTGATAAGAAAGAATGTAATTTGAAAGAATATATAACTGTTAAATAATAACACAGCCACTTCTGAACTTGCTTACAAGTGTAAAGAGGGCCATAGCAGCCACTAATTAATTTAGCGTATAATATATAAGAAGCCGGTGTACGCCTGTAATTAGACTGACCGTGTGACCGTGTCTGAGACCAGGACCAGATTTTTTGATAGTCTCATTACCAATTCGACTGATCTCATTACATGGTTTTATCATTAGATAGTAGTTTCATACTGTTTCAGTGAGACTTACTGTCTACTCTTGTCACATTTTTCAAATGAGATCATGATTTTCACTTCTCAATTTAAATTATTTTTATTGCTTTAAATGACTTTAAATCTCATTTGAGCATTATCAAAAAGCATTACTTTTTAAAAAATTAAAAATAGTCTAAAAAAAACCTTAAAATGTCTAAAAATAGTAACTTTATGTCAAGAATGAGACTAAATGAAATCAAATGAGATCACTTTCTCATTTTTTTCAAGTCATGGTCCCATTTTAAGATCTGATATATAGTCACTTTGCATGGTTTTTTGATAGCCAGTCCCAGCGGGATTCACGCCAAGAAATGTATGAGATCAGACCAAATGAGATCAAATGTGAAATTCATGGTCCCAGCGGCCAGTCTACCTGTAATTGTACACTGAATCAAGCAATCTTTGAATTATAAAATCATAGTTATATCTTTCTTCTTTCTCTCTTAAATAAAACATAGTCTGTGAAAAGTGAGTATTATATCAAATTATAATAATTAATATAGTCTCAGTATACAGAGCTGTATACATACAGTATATACTGAACTGAGAGACTGTATAAATTATAAACTAATATCAGTATTTCAAAGAGAGTTATACAGTGTGAAAAAGTCATAATTCTCAGTTATATATACAGAGAGTGAATCATTATAGTAAGTGTATATACATTGTATAAAAGTAATACTTTTTAATAATACTCAGTCTCTGATAGACTGATCATGTGACTGTGTCTGAGATCAGAATCAGATTTTTTAATAGTTTTATTATTAATTCAATTAATCTCATTACACAGTTTTAACATTAAATAGTAGTTTTATACTGTCTCAGTGAGACTTACTGTCTACTCTTATCACATTTTTCAAATGAGATTATGATTTTCACTTCTCAATTTAAATTATTTTTATTGCTTTAAATGACTTTAAATCTCATTTGAGTATTATCAAAAAGTATTACTTTTTAAAAAATTAAAAATAGTCTAAAAAAAACCTTAAATGTCTAAAAATAGTAACTTTATGTCAAGAATAAAACTAAATGAGATTAAATGAGATCACTTTCTTATTTTTTTCAAGTTATAGTTTCATTTTAAAATCTGATATATAGTCACTTTACATGTTTTTTTGATAGTCAGTTTCAGTGAGATTCACATTAAGAAATGTATGAGATCAGATTAAATGAAATTAAATGTAAAATTTATAATCTCAGCAGTCAGTCTAATCTCTGATATTATAAAAATAGAGTCTTTTTATAAGATCTGTTTTTATCAGAAGTCAGAGAATTTTATATTTCTTAAAATTAACTTCACACATCTTATCTATGAAATTAATGAAGAAAATCATCAATTTCAGTATTCTATTCTTAATATTATTCAAGTAGCAGTAGAGTTCATTTTAATCACACTTTTTAAGTGTATATTTTCTAAATATTTATATTTATACAGATATATACTGATTATTTATTAGATAATATTAAGATAATAACTTATTATAACTGTGTTACTCTTACTATAAGAGATATATAGTTAGTAATAAATATTATAAAAACTCTGAGAAATAAGTATTTTAAAAGTACTATAACTTTATAATCTTGATTTTTTTTATTTTTCTTTTTTTTTTATTTTTCTTTTATTTTTTTTATTTTTTTTTTTTTCTTTTTCTTTTTTTTTCATTCTGATTTTTTCTTATTTTTATTTTATTTTTTATTTTTTATTTTTTTCATATTTTTTATTTTTTTTATAATTAAAATTATATAAATTATAATCTGTATTTAGAAAAGTAATAATATTTAGTAATACTTTCTATTAAATTTTCAATAAATGAGTACTATGTTATAATATTATATAAGTGAGAAGTGATTTTATAGTCTTATTTAATATTATTCTCAATAATGAGATCAGAATGAAAATGTAACTAAGAATTCAAATATATTCTTTATTCAGAACTAGATTTTTATTTAAAAAGTGAATCTGAGATCTTTAATATTTGAAATAATATGATTTGAAATCAATATAATGAACATAAACCATGATCAGGAGTAATGCTTTTAGGCAATGTGACAACTGTAAAGTTTGATCCTGGTCCCAGACATGGTCACACGGTCAGTCTAGGTGACTCAAGTTAGCCGCAGCGGCCGTAGCGGCCAACATGCTCTAAGGCTAAGCCCTAGCAACCTTACAGTGGGGCCAAACCCCTCCAAACCCAAAATTTCCTCATCGCCATCACAACGTCGCGGCAAGACGTGTTCCAACCAAACCAACAACGAATATCCTACTCCGGATCGCCTTATTTTGTTTGAGACAATGGAAATCCCTGAACCAGTGCTTCTGGACGACGACAGCAAGGCAGAGCTGGAAGAACTTGTCAAAATTCCCGAATATGAAATACGAAGGAGACCCCACACAGCACTCTCAATCGTGACAATGAATGTGAATCCTGCACATGTCCAGAAAATTGGAAAGCATCTAAAACTGGAGGTAAGATCTGCCTGTCCACAACTCTAGTACTTTCTAACTTGAAAGATAGGCTCCGCGGTACATTAAGCTCTATCGACGCGACAATGAGGGCTTCATAGGCACTGGACCGGTGATCGCCATACGAGTTCCACTTGATGACGGCCGACGAGTGGACATTGCGAGGGACCAGGAGTTACCAAGGAGTGAATTGAAATTCGGCTATGCGTATAAACTACCATGGGCGCCTTGGGTTTCTGATGCGGTTTACCTACTTTGCTTCCGATGAATGCAGGTCTCCGAGTACTCTTGTCAATTCAAAGCTTGTGATATAGTCTAGGAGATCATGTTATGCAAATAGTTCAACTGAGCTGTCAGCCTGCCTAAACACAGGAATATATTCCTCCAAACCTTCGAGATCCCATACCTCCATGTCTTCGCAGTGAGGACCCAAGGGCAAGCTTCTAACATCAGTCAACATGCCTAACAAAGGGTCATCTGTTCCGCCCAGCCCATCTTGTTCCACGGTTTGCATCAATGAAGCGGCGGTCGGTTGTGGTGGAAGCGATCGTGGATGTTGTTCTGCCGCTGTGGAGTTATGGTAGTCACTAAATTGCGTAGCTGCCGAAGTTGTAGCTTGACTTCGATGGTTTGGATGTTGTTGTCGGCGATGTCGGAGAAGGTTTGAACGGTTTGTGAAGTTCTTATTGCATATTTGGCAGACTTCATAGTGCTGCTTTTTGGTATGATCTTTAAGGTCATCCTTTGTTTGAAATACTTCGTCACATTGCATGCAAAGGCGTCCTCCGTGCATGTCCAGATAGTGCTGATGCATTCCCTTTGCCTTGAGTACCTGGTTACAGCTCTTGCAATTTTGTTTCTTCGGACGATTGCGACGACTGTGAAGATTTCGCTGGGGTTGTTTGCTGCGTCTGATGATTGACTTTCCCTGGGCAGCTGCTGTCTGTTGTATCTCATCAGCGTCATGTGTGCCATTCGCGTCATCTTTGTTGTCTGTCTCAAGCGTGTCGACCGTCTCTAGGTTTGCATTGTGCATCCTGCCATCTGGTTCTCCGACAGAGCTTGCCAGCCGAGAGATAACCCCCATGATCTCGGAGGCATCGCTGTGTCCGCCCATCACAATTGGATTCCTCCGGGCGGCTGTTGTCTGCTGCGTCTCAATGTCGTTAGTGTTGTGTGTACCGTGCGAGTTGTTGATCTCATGCGTATCGGGCATTTCTTGATTTATGCCGTGTTCAGCGTCGTGCTTGTGAGTGTTATGCGCGTTGTCTGCCTCATATGTATCGAGCGTCTTCAATTCACCATGAGAGCTTGCTTGCCGAGAGACAACTCCCATGAGCTTGGAGAAATCCCGCTGCAGCTTAGAAAAAGCCTGCTCTTGTCCAGAGACTTTGTGGGTAAGGCAAACATACTCATTATACTGTCGCATGAGAAGGTATGAACAGGTACCATGGTCCGGATTATTGACTTGCTCCATTGTGAAAGCTAGTTTGACAGATTGAGAATTCCAAAACGATAGATAAATGATCCTAAAAGAAAGTGTTTGGGGCTGCGACAACAAATAGCTTAAGAAGTTGGAACTTCATAGCCGGCTAAGCCAAATTGGATAGTTGTACCCACTTCCCCATCCCGTCACGCGCCCCCACACGCTAATGCACCACCTTCACATCGCTATGCACCTCGACAAAATCGAACCCGAGGGTCCGAGAGATATCAATTTGGATCCCCAAGCGCTGTCGCTGTGTAAAACAAACAATGGGTGAGCATATATAGCATGATGGTGTAGGGCGATAAACTGATAGAAGATATGCTTATACATGTGGCAAATGAACAGTGCCCTCGTACACCTCATCGCGATAAATAGAGTCTCGGTGCTGGGGATCAGAGTTCATTAATTAATTATACTGAGCTTATCAATCTAACTTCTCAAATCTATTTGAATAATCAATTCTCTGAGAAAAAGATCAATAAGATCTCTTCTAAGTAATTAATAACAGAATCTAAACAGCATCATGATAGCTTCAGTGTGAAGAAAGTAAAGAAGAATTTCAAGTATTCTGATTCTTCACTCACTGTGAAGAAATATTAAAAAAGATTTGATAAAGATCTCTGTTTCAACTGCAGAGCTGATGAACATTATATCAGTGATTATAAGAAGCTGAAGAAGAGAAGAAACTGAGAAGACATCATTTTAAAGTTAACTTCTCTTCTGACAAATGTATTCATAAAAGATAAAGAAGAGAAAGAAAAGAATTAATAATTCTCACATCTCTGAGTTCATGTTATAATTACAATACATACTCTGAATAAGAAGATACTAGTAAGATGTCTACTCAACTCTGAGATAAATATTAACTTCATATTCTATTTCTTTTCTTTGATGAAGAGTTGAAAGAAGATAGATCTATCAGATTATGCAAAATTTACAGATAAAATAAAATGTCACTATTTTAACATAATTCAAGCAAAGTATGTGTGTCACTATTTTAACATAATTCAAGCAAAGTATGTGATCACAGACTCAGAAGAAATCTTCAAGAAGAGTGTGATTCAAAGGTTGCTTAAGCCAGCGTACAATTACAGGCGTACGCCGGCTTCTTATATATTGTAATATCATACACTAAATTAATTAGCGGCTGCTATGGCCCCTTTACACTTGTATGCATACACTAGTAGTTCAGAAGCAGCCGCATTATTATCTGATGATTGTATATTCTTTCAAATCACATCCTCTCTCATCAGATTTGATCACACTTATATAATCATATTGTACACTCTAGCTTCATGCAGATTAGCTCATCACTAGCATTTCACAATTATATGATCTATTTCTGATTCAGCTAGCATTCTGCATACACTCTTATAAAGAAACTTTCACTATATTACATTACTTATTCACTAACTTTTCTCATTCTTCAATCATCTTCTTTATTATCATCATCATTGAATATCATTATTATTTAAGATTTCTATCTCTTCTTCTATTCAACTCTTTCTATCTGTTTATCTATCACATTATACATATTTCTGGCAATGACTTCTCATTCTCATAACAAGTGTCATCATAGTACTTATATCAGGCAGTTCATTAGCAGTAAGTGTAACATGTTATGAAACATGATCAGAACTTGTTTATCTTCTAATAATCATCAGAATAATGTATTACTATGAATAACATATCTTCTTCATCTTCTTATACATTCTCAACTGTTTCTTCTTCTCAGCAGGTTTCTGATCATGTTTTCTGACACAATTTTACATGAATGCAGATACTGATATGTTTGTTTTTATTCATATAGAATCTTCACATGTTGACAGATTCACATCTGCTGATAATAGTGAACTTAATATTGAATCATTGATTAAGAACCTGAAGAATGTGATAATGAAGAAATTACTTATATTATATATAACTGAGTCTTTCACATTCTCTTTTATTTCTTCTGTTTCTTTCTCTGCTACTTCTTCTCAAACTTCTACACCTGTCTCTGTATCTGATTCTCCCGCTTCTGCTACTTCTGTTTCTGTGACCTTCACTCTCACTACTTCTACTCCCTCTGGTTTTACTGTCTCTGCTTTTGTTATCAGCTCTTCCTGTTTCAAGAAGATGTTGTATAGACTTGATAAATTATATTTCTCAGTATATACACTCTCACTCTTCTTACTGATCTCTAGAATAATCTATTATACAAAGACAGTGTATAACATAACTATCTGAAGCTCAGTCACAGATACTGATTATTATATTCATTTTAAATATTTATAATAAGATAATTATTTATTTATCTCAGAGAATTACTCTCTCTCTTAACAGTATCAAGATTATAAGTCTTTTTCTTTTTCATCTTTTCTTTCTAACACTGATTTTTCTGTTCTTAGAAGAAATTGTTATGAGTTTTACTGTGTATAAAGTCATAATATTCACATATATTAAGAAACTTTTTATAACTGTAAAGTTTAATATTATAGAGATATTCACTCTGATAAATTTCTTCAAAATAATAGATCTGTATCAGTCTATTCTCTGACATCTGTTATTCAACTTCGTAATGCAGGTGAAAGATATCTATGTTTTCAAAAACAGAAACATAAATGTTATACTCTTTTACATCTGTGAGTGTGAGGCTTATACATCTTGTCTGAGATGTCATTATAAGAATGAGCTGTTTACACACTGTATTCTGTTTTCTGCATTTCTCTGTGTCTCTCTCTCTCTTTCTGAGAAGCCTTGTGTGTATTGTAATTACATGTATAACTCTAAGATCAGTGAGTATTCATTCAGTAACTATTCTCATCTCTGATTTTTCAATTTTTGTATACTAATAATAGTTCTTAGTTACTCTGATGTCAGAGGCCATTCTAATTGAAGATGATAATATCATAGAGACTACTCTCTTCTACTCTCAAGCTTCTTCTATCACTTTCTCTCTCTTCTCTGCAAGGAAGGTTGTGCACACACTGAGTTATAAGTATTCAGTTTCAGATGACTTCTGCTGTCATTCATTCAGTTCTGTATCTTCTTCTTCTTCTGTTTCTTCTGTCTTTGCTCTCTCTGTTCTGACTTCTGATTCTGCAGATTCTGCACTCTTCTTCAATTTCTCTACATGTATACATATACATTTCTATATTAGCATTTCAGTCAATCTTGTGATAAATGACATTAATGTTGTATACAGAGTGATAGAGAAATCAGAGATATGTACAGTGTTATTATAAGAGCAGCTTACAGTTCTCAAATCTCTTACAGATCTTGAGTTTTGAGATTTCCTTTGTTTTTGATGTTTTTCAGATGATGTAGTATTGAAAATAGATTAAATATATGATATATGAAAATGAATGAAGTGTGTATAATAATATTTGTCTTTTGCAGCTGACTCTTACAGTTGATGATTAATTCATTATCTCTTTTCTTACACTTTTTCTTTATCTGCTAGTCACTACTCTTATATAATCTCTATATAATACAGTGTTTGATAACTAGATTCAGCAGCTTTCATCTTTTGTAATTCTATCTTGTGTATTATACTGTCTCTCTTCACTCACTCAGATTACTATAGTAAATAGCTCATTGAAACTAATCTTATCTGATCTCTGAGCATTCTTAGAGATTAAGATAACTTGATCTCACATATCTGTGAATGTTTTAGATAGTTCATTCTCTGTGATCTCTGTGATTGAACTGATATAAACAGTTAAATTCAACTCTGAATTTCTTTTTCTTCTGTGATCTGACTTATATGTAAGTCTGTCACTTTGAGACTGCTTTTTACTATGTTGTGCCTGCTGTCTGTGATACATTATCATATAATCAGCTACAGTCTTATCACTTATTGAAGTGTGATGTTCATCTGATTTCTTCATTTCTTCTCATTCTTTTCTTATAATTGTGAAAAGATTGAAATAAGTGAGATTATCTGATTTGTAAGTGTCTATGATTTCTCTTATCTTGTAAGACTTTTCAATTATAAGTCTCTTCTTTTTCAATACTGATGATAGTGCTGTAGATGATTATAATCTACTCAGATCTTATATCTTTACTTTCATAAGTTATAAATCATTGATTAAGTTGTGTAAGATCTGTCTCTCTGATTCTTTCAATGCATACATTTTCAGAGAATGTGATTTGAGTATTTTATATAGCTCAAATCATCTAGATTGAAACTTCTCAGAACTCTCATTGTATATAAGAATTCACATTCTCATCTTGAGACTTAATTTCTTAACTAGTGAGTCTTATATTCTTTTTGATTGAATTGCTCAGTTCAGAAGTAACTTATTAGCTTTTGTATGTATATGACTGATCTCTTTCAATCTTGATTCTGTGTCTGTGACTGTTGTGTCTGCAACTGCTGTTTCTACTGTGTCTGCAACTGCTCTCTTCTCTATCTTTTCTGAAGTATTCACTGAGATGCGTGGATGCAATTCATACAACAGGTAGAATGATGAATACTTGAAGACTGCATGCTGTTGAATCCATGTGATTAAGACTCAATAGCGCCTGCCTAAGATATTCATTTCATAGTCTCATAGACTTACTCACTAGATATTTCATCAGCATGTTGCTCAAGATTTCATTTAAGTGTTTCATCTTTCTATTTGTCTGTGAATGATATGACATTGTTCTATAATATCTTGTCTGTAACTGACTTATGAAATGCCTCACTGCTTCTTCTACAAGGTTTGCATTATTATCAGTTAGAATCTCATGTGATATTTCATAGTTAACATAGATCTCATCATGTAGAAACTTCATCATCACCTTCTCTGTCATCTCTGAAACTGCTTTCACAACTGATCAGTCAGTAGTGTAATCAATAGCAGTGATTATTCATCAATTTTCATTTAGCATTCACAGTAATATGTCTATGAGGTTCATCTTTCATTATTTAAACAGTTGTATTGTATACTTCATCTGATATTGTACTTTCTTATGTTTCAATCCTTTCTTATATTCTTTTGTGATCTGACAATTCAGGCACTTATGAGTGTATATCTGAATGTTCTCAGTCATGCTTGGCCAGTATGCTCTTGATTTGAGTACACTCATGAGTTCAGAGCTTTCTAAGTGACTGAATTCCTTGTGCATATAAGTCATCAAGTCACATCTAAATAAAGATTCTAGATAGAGAGCTTCTGTGTATTCTAGATTGTGATAAAGTATAACATCATTTTTCAATTTTCTCAGCTTGAAGTTCAGAAGTATCTCTTTTACTACTTTCATAAGACACTTATCATCTGACATCTTGTCATTCTTCAAGTGAGAGATCATGATATTCACTTATTCTGATTTCTTGTATTCTCTCAGTGTGTTTAATATGAACATTTCTTATACCTGATTCACAGAACTCTCACTCATAAAATCAGGTCTGTGACTGATTATA